GATGATGATGATGATGATGATGATGATGATGATGATGATGATGATGAGCATCACCATCATCATCACGATCACTATTGTTTTTGTTATTGATTAATATATTATATAACACTGCTTTAATGATGTCCACCAGTCTCAAGACATCCTAACACCAAACCCTATGACCTGAATCTGATACAACATAACTTCCCGTGACCCACGACCATCCGTGTGGTGCGAAGCCTGCAGGTTCTTCCCTTGAGTTCCTTCAGCCTGACGATGGCAGAGAACGCTGGCCTGAAGGCGATTTGCAGCTCCCCAGTGTCGGCTGAGGACGAGGAAGAGACAGAAAGGCAGGATGGGTGCGGTGCTCCGTCACGCCTTGTCAAGCCCCCACAAGTCAGATGGTCATCAAGAACAAGTCACAGGTGTCCAATGATTTCCAAGATGGCCCACTTTGACGCTTTGAAAGGTCGAAAACTGAAGGCTTAAGGAAGAACTTCAGGGTGCGAGTTCGTTGTAGTTCGGAAAATCATGGAAAAAGAAAGACACGTTGCGATGGTATGATTCACCGCCATGGAGGGACTGGGTTCCTGGAGGCCCACCACAGCAAAGAGCTTCAAACCCCGGCGGCGGCGCGGAGTCTGAGGCGGGACCGGGGAGCCTGGAGGTGGGGTGATCTCTTCGCTGAGAAACACATCTCTTCAATCAACCCACGGCAGTGGCGTGGGGACTTCCGGATCTGTGTTCCTTGTGAAATAGAACAAGTCTGACGGATCATGTGAGGCGAGGACTTTGCTGCAAACGGATCTTTTTGGTTATGGTGGTCTTTCGGGCCCTCCGTCCTCGAGAAGCCACACCCGGTGTCCGGTGCTTTAGCAACTGGGCAACCGGGTGATTGATTCCGCTAAGGAAATCATCCGGTCTGTACTACTAACTGGTAGCAACTGCAACATGTGGCAAGTGGACGACTATGGCTTCAGGCTTGTTGGCTTATTGTTCAGCAAGTGTTTATAACAGGATGCCAGCTTGATACTTTCAGCCTTTCCCATTACAAAGTTTCGTGCCAAAGTACAGGAACCAGAATGTTGTAAATATATTTACTTTCCCTAAACATCTAGGAGTCCAGGAGCATTTGAATAGTGCGAGCGCTTCTGCAAGGAAGCTCCCCCCGCCCGCAGGCGGAGGGAGCTTCCTTAAAGAAGCGAGAGCTATCCTGCTTCCTACCTAGGAGCGTTCTGTACCTAATAATCCTAATAGCTACCTCTCCCTTACTTAATTAAGTAGGTGCCTACTTAATTAAGTAGGGGGAGCGTTAAAAAAGAAATGGTTTTGATCAAATAGGGGCCCTTCAGGAGGTGTCCAGCACCCGAATCTGACGAAGACGGCAGACTGGCCGCGCCCAGGAGGTTTCCGAATGTCACGCGGATCCTCACCAAGTTTTTGCGACAGAAGGCCAAGAAGTTCCCGTTCAGCTCCATCAGTTTGAACATCAACTACTGGGCGGCAGGGCACAGAGACAAGCGCCTGGGCCTGGTGTGATATTGCTGGTACTTGTTGAGAGGGATCGGAGGTGACGTGTTTTCCCGTGCAATGGGCAAAGAGTCCAGGGACTTTTACCAGGTTTCTTCCCAAAACTAGACTGCAATTTTTTGCCTTTGGCATCATATCGGCCCTTTGGGCTGCCCAAATTGTCCAGGACCTGATTCTCCTAAAGCTGTGTTTTCAGACAGCAGAGGGAACGTGTTTCAATCAAGTTCACAGATGGGTAGTTAGGGAGCAAGCCGGTGCTTGCCAGCTCAGCGTTCAACCCACCAACCGAACAAACCAAGCAACCTGATAGATGATGAACGAACGAGTATTCCGGATCATGGCAAGTATGCATGACAGACGTCAACTTGCTTGTTTTGTTTGTTGCTCAAGGCCTCACAGCACGTGCTGCCGTACTGCCCAGGTGCCCGTGCTCTGCGTGCAGCGCCTGAAAAAGCCCGCGCGGGACGAATGACTGAGATGCAGCTCTTGGAATCCACCCCAGCCTGAAGGGCTTTCTAGGGGCCACTGCCCAATGTTCGAGACACACGTGTCAAAGAAGAGCACCCAAAGGAGAAAGGCACCCTGCAGGGTCATCTCAACCTGAGAGAACCTTGCCTCTAAGAACACGGACGTGTCAAGGCGAAGGCACAGTGCACGCAGACTTGATTGTAGTAGGATTCAGTAGGATATTGTGATATTGTAGGTCAGATTGCCGTGAGGACGAGGCGTTTTTCTCCGCCAGGTTCGAGCCCGAGGAGACCAGCACGTTCTTCTCGCGCGACGGAGGCCTCACCTGGGTCGAAGCTCACAAGGCGCGGTTCGAACCGAACGATGTTCCGCTGCAAGGATGTAGAGAAGCAGTTCTGCCACGAGTTGTTGATTGGTTGGACCCAGAAGTGGAGAATTTACAAGTTAGAGTTCGTTGAGTACTGTGGGTGCCGCGAGAGCTTAGTGATCATATTCCATTCTTGAAACTTCCAACATCTTCAAGGCCCCACTCCACTTTCCGCAACATCCAAACCGACTGTCACCACAGCTACCACTGCTACACGTGCTTCCCGCCGCGATGGATGTTCGACGTCTCATCCCATGCCAGGGTGCCTTCATCTATGAGTTCGGCGACCATGGCGGGCTGATCGTCATGGCAGATGACCTCAAGAAGACCGGGGAGGCGGTCCAGACCAACGACCAGCGAGGATCTCTCCCCAATTCCATGTTGGTTCCAGGGTCGTTCACAGGCAGATCGACTCGGGTGTTTTGCGTTGACCAAGCATCGAATACCGAAGTTGGACCCCATGCCATTGAAGGGATCAACATCCAGTTGCTTGATTCTTCTATCGGTGCAACACACCGATGACATATAGTTTTCAATTGAGTCATTAAAAACATATTCATTGCAGAACAGAATGTTTGGGAAAATTTGCCAAGTGATTGGAAGCCGATCGACTCGCTGATCGATCGAAACCTTTGCAGGGCCCAAGTTGCAGGGCCCAAGCTCAAGCTTGACTTTGCTAATGAAACGACCACCCAGTGACCAAGAGATTCAAATCCAAAAGAACAAATCCCAAAAGAGGTTCAAACTGACAGCAACGGAAACTCCCCAAAGAGCCAAACAAAGATTCTTTGCAGCCTGGTAGTTCTACAAATGGTGGAGCCAAAACTCAGCAATGGAGTGGCAACGACTTCTCATCGTTGGGCCTAGCGCAGCCTATTCTTTTCTTTGGTCAAGGGTGGTCCCGGAAGAAATCATCGGCAGGTGATCTTCACGTGGAATGAGGGCGAGTCTTGGTATGACTTCAAGGTCACCAACACTCCCTTTGAGGCGGACCTGGGAGGTGAGTGCTTGGGTGGAGAGTGGTGGACCGAGGTGTTCCACACCTGAGAGAGGCAATCTCTTGTATTCGTTTGCAAGCTCGCGCTCGAGAGGTTTGGTGAGGTTGCACCCCAAGAAGGAAAGACTCCTCAGGACCAACAACCTCCTGCTTTGTCCATCCATCCATCCGCTCAGCCCAGTGATTCAGTGGAGCCCGCGTGCAGGTGGATAACATCATCACTGAGCCCAACCTGACGTCCACGACCTTTGTGATGTTTGGGACTCGTGAGGTGCGGCACAAGCGGGGTTCTGTGCACGTGTGGCACGTCTGCGTGTGACTCGGACATATTCACCAGATGGATGCGTGGACAGATGGATTTGGAAGCTTAGGGCCCAGAGGATGAGCGTCCGACTTAGTGTTCAAATTTCGAATGGCTGTTCGAGGTGACCCATGAAGTGCAATCCACGAATCCAAGAGTGAAAAGTTGAGTTGAAGGCAGCAACTGAGTCCCTATTTGTTGTTGATTTTTAATCTTTCGCACCTTTTTCCATGAGATTCGGGTAAGAGGGTTGACGGTAAAGGTGCTGGTTGTGGTGGTGACTCGTCCTGGCGGGGTGGCGTGAGTCTGCAGACAGGGCTCCTGTTTTCACCAGCTCTAAGCAACAAGTATATATGTACTCAGGCCTTAGTGACCCTCAGTGGATCTGAGGATGTTGCGAACGTATTCCACACTTTGGTGCTGGGCTGAAGTTGCACACTTTGCATCACTTTGCAACAGATGATTCTAGCATGGTATCTATCTACTCCATATTAGAATTCGAGTTTGCCAGTCCCTGATAGTATGATCTACTATGAATTCCTTTCCGGAAGACCTTGGTGGCCTTCCTATCGCAACAGCCCGGACCCAGCCAATGCGAATTAAACCCCTTCTTTGTTCAGCGTGGCCGACATCCGTGTCCAGTGCAAAAGGATGGTGCTGGTGTGTTGTACTACCTGAAGTTTGACTCGCCAGAGGCTTAGAGGACTCACAGACAGCTGCACTTTGAGAGTCGATACTGTAGGAGATGTCCACATGGCAGAAAGATCCTTCCTATTGTCCATATTTTGAGACGGTTGGAACGATTTCACTTGCACTACTGGTCGTTCGCGTATAAATCATAAAACGTTTGGAACGTATGGAAGATTTGGCAACTTTGCAGGGGAACAGGGTCTTGAACATGGGCAATGCCTTTTTTTCAATTATCCTTCGATCTCGGATCACTGTGAGAGAGAGAGAGAGAGAGCTGAGATCACTGTTGTTATTTTCCGCAGTCAGCACATTGCCACTTCAGACCCAGATGTTGGGGAAAGAAAGGATCCATCCTCCACCAAGAAAACCCGAGAAGCATCGAACAGCTAGTAAGCAGCGAGTAATTTCATGTAACTGTCCTTTTCAGGTGCTAGAATTCTTCATTTTTAGTTATATACAGTATTATACAGTAATTTATCTATAATCTACTACTGATTATAACTGATTATACGCACGTATCCTAACCGATGCTAGTTGCCTGACAAATTGCTATCCGGAACTTGCCCTACCACGAAATACCATGGCTGTTTTCGATTTGAAGGGTGAGGGTGCGGGAGCCCTGCCCAAAGAACCCCAATCACCAGGCAGGAAATCGACTCAATCGCCATTTCCTCCAACCGACAACAACCAGTAGCGAGAAGCTACTAGGGGCTCCTGGCCTTAGTACTAGCAACGATCGGACGCTACGAACGGGGCTCCTGGCATCGCTACTAGGAGCGATCGGACGCTACAAGCCTCACTCCATCACCCCCGCCGCGGCCTCCAGGTTGCAATTCCCCGCCTGCCGTGGCAGCGGCTTCGCGGACTCGGTGTCCTCCGATTACGAGGCCGGTGGTCCCGGATGTTTGGTGGATGACAGACTAAAAAAGCATGGCTATCGGATGTCCAAGTGAGGTGTCAAAAGGATTCACAAGGTATTTCACGCTATTTCTAGCCAACGAGAGATCAATAACGGCCGCTTTGCGATGTTTGCGGCTATCGGCATCATTGTGGCTGGCAAGGATGCCATTGAGCAGTTTGGGCTGTAGAAAAGCATGACAGCTGCATGTGATTGCATGCGCCGTAGGAATGTCACAAATTTTCGGGAAGGGCTGCTTGACTTGGTATAGATGAGCTGAGATCTGCCATCCAGGTGTACGTGTGAAATGCAGACAATAAGTGGATGTATAATGGAAGTGCTGGATGTGTAGATCTCGGAGCAGCTTCCCTCTCACAGCATGAGTTTTCAGAGGCAGCACTGGCCCAACAACGTTTGCTTCCAGCTTGGTTGCCACTGTGTGGGTTCACAACGCACCCACAAAGACTTGCATATTGACTTTGCTTAGGCAAATGCAGACAGCCTGCTGAGACTGTGGCAAGTACAGTTAATCGGTCATTGAGTTGTTCAATTTCCAGTTCGAACTGTTTGATCAATATGTGGTTTGTTTGCCTGCAGAAATACTGTTCTTTTTTTTACGTGGAGGGCCATTGCAGAGTTCTGTCAGTGTTCAGCATTTCTGATGTGTTTGCTTCCAATCCTTGCTTCCGCTAAGCATTTTGCACTTGTAGTCTCTCGCTCGACTCTCTCTCCTTACGCTAGCCATGGCACCTCGCAACACTATGTTGGCGGCCGCTGGCCTTGCTGCTGGGGGCTACGTGGCCTCGCAGGCTTTTGTCCCAAGCGCTTCTGGACCCATGGTGAACAATGAAGCAGTGCAAAAGCTGCGTGGCGCTTCAGCTACACAGGCTGCACCATCTGAGGGATTCGGCAGTGCTTTGCCATTGATGGGCCTTGCAGGGGTCGGAGCTGTTGCTGCTGGACGTGGACGTGTTGCGCGACGTGCGGAACCTGCAACCGCAGCCGCTGCAGCAGCAGCTGCTGCCAAGGCAGCTGCAGCAGCTAAAGGAGTGACTGCCACAACCTCGGCTGTGGCAGGTTCAGCTGGTGTTGGATCCTTGAAGAAGGGGACAGGTGTTGCTGGGAAGGGCTCGGGAAGTTACTTCTTCGACCCTAGTACTCAGATTGGTGCCATGGCCCCACTGGGCTACTTTGATCCGGCTGGCTTGTGCAAGAAGGGAGACGAGGCTACATTCCGCCAACTTCGTGCTGCTGAACTAAAGCATGGCCGTGTTGCAATGATGGCAGCTGTTGGAGCAGTTGCGCAACACTATGTGAAGTTTCCTGGTTTTGAGTCGGTGCCAAGCGGCCTGGCTGCTTCCATCACAGGCCCTGGAAGCTATGGCTTTGTGGCTTTGTTTGCCTTGGCTGGCATCTTGGAGCTTGGTGCTTGGACGGAGGGCGACAACAAGGAGCCAGGAAACTTTGGTGACCCACTGGGCTTCAGCCAGTACAACCAGGAATGGAGGGTGGCCAAGCAGCACTTGGGCATTTGGGTTGGTTGGCCTCAGAGAAGTATACAGTAGTGTACTTTTTAATTCACTGATTGTCAATAAGTGTCGGGAGTCTGCTCCACCCAGGGTTTGTCAGTCATAGTCAGGCCCACTTCTCACTTTCCCGAAACCTTCTTTGATGACAGAAACATCCAGAAACAAACAGAAACACACATCAATCAAAGCAACTGAGGAGCGAGAGATCAATAACGGCCGCTTTGCGATGTTTGCGGCTATCGGCATCATTGCGGCTGAGCTGTACACTGGCAAGGATGCCATTGAGCAGTTTGGGCTGTAGAAAAGCATGACAGCTGCATGTGATTGCATGTGCCGTAGAAATTTCACAAATTTTCGGGAAGGGCTGCTTGACTTGGTATAGATGAGCTGAGATCTACCATCCAGATTAACGTGTGAAATGCACACAATAAGTGGATGTATAATGGAAGTGCTGGATGTGTAGATCTCGGAGCAGCTTCCCTCTCACAGCATGAGTTTTTAGAGGCAGCACTGGCCCAACAACGTTTGCTTCCAGCTTGGTTGCCACTGTGTGGGTGCACAACGCACCCACCTAGACGGCCGAACAACGGACACTCGACAATAAGTCTTTTGGAGAACTGAGACCTGGACGAACTGCCTTTGCAAAGCAACAAGAAGCTACTAGGTTGGAGGCCATCGCTCTTAGGTGGCCATCGCCACTAGGGTAGAGGCCATCACTACTAGTAGCAAGAAGCTAGTAGTAACAAGTGCATCGCTTCTAGGAGCAAGGGCGCTACGATCCGGGCTCCTGGCCTTACTACTAGGAGCAAGAGGACGCTACGAACGGAACAAAGGGCATCACTACTAGTACCACTCACTGGGCCCTTTCCCCGCCACCTGCACTCTGGCAGACCTGGACGGCCTCCGACGGGCGCGGTGCAGAGCGGTGCATGTTGGGCCAGCAGGCGCGGCGGTGGGTGACGCGACTCGGCTGGGAAGGTGGAAGCGACTCTCCCAGCTGAGTGGTGTGAACAGTGGTGAAGCTCGGCTTTTGCCTATCGTTTTTTGAAACATGGTGTTCCTGGGACTCAATGAATATCAGACTGCCTTTTTTTTCGGCATCGTTGCTTGGGGTCGTTGGGGGTTTGACCAGTCTTGTTGCGGGGTGTTTCTAGCAGCGCAGTCACACTGCGTCGCTGCGTTTAATCGGAATGTAAGCACATGTGTTTTAGTTGAGGTGGAGGGCACCGTACTTCTCTAAATCACTGGCTGATTGCCTCTACCACCCATTTACTCCCTTTTCATGGGCTTCCCACACTTGGCATTTACTATCGAGATTGTATCGTAGCACGGGGTGTTGGTGTTGGAGCCGCAACACCATCCAAGACCCGTGACAAGATTGTCAAGATGCGAATTTTCACATTCAGAGAACGCCCTGGCAGCGTTCCTCATTCCATCCTGACAGATCACCTACACTCGTCGCAAGCGGACCTCGCAGTGCTGGAATGGTGAGGCCGAGCGGCGCGTTCCGAAGTCCTGCGTCGGGGTTCCGACGACGTTCCACGACTTGGTCGGACTGGGATGGATGGAGGTTTCTCGAGTCTGGAGAATGAGAAAGAACATGATAGAACCACCATTTGTCCCGGGTATTCTGAAACATCTTGAAATCTCCTGTTCTTGCGACCCTTTGGCAAAGAAGTTGTACAGCACATGTTTCACAGAGAAGACTCCAACACCAGCAGCAGCAACAACAGCCGCAACAGCTGCAGCAACAGCTGTTGAGCCACTGAAGCAGCACCTTTCCTGCAACAGGAACAGCTGCTATTAGACCGCTACAGACTCTACAGACTACAGATGCTGTGTTCCTTTGCTTTTGCAATCCTTTGCGCCGCCATTGTTATATTTATTTTAAAATCGGTTTTCATCCCATTCCCCTTTTTTGCCCAGGCCTTCGAACGCCCAACGGTGAAGAAGACCTGCGCATGTACGGAGGTTCGTTGGGCGGTTGACCATCCGTGGAAATACTGTATCACCAAAGGATCGGAGTGGATCACTGGTACTTCGGCACAGAAGGGAAACAGAAAGGGAAATCACAACCAGGCAATCCCAGGCGTGTTCATAGTTAGTATATTTTCATGATGCTGATGGGCACCATTGGTGGAGAACGACTCAAAGAACGGCTTGGGCAAGGTACTGCAACTCCTTTGGCAGAGGAAAAGACTCAACAACTCCCACCACATGCCGAAAAGCACCTGGTTCCTCTTGGAGACCTTTGTTCAGAGTCCTTTGGGGTTCTTCATTCGGGGCGCGCCAGCCCCGCCCGCGCGGCTGCGCGCGCCGCCAGACTTTGGGCACCAGGCGGACTACGCCTGCGACGTGGGCTTCGTGCGGCAGGTGGGCTCGACCGAGTGCGTCTTCGGGGGCCTCGAGATGATGCCGGAGAGGCGGGGGGGTTTCGGGCGCCGCCAAGCGGCGCCTGGGCGGTGAAGTGAAGTGGTGGGGGATGGGTGACATGTACGACAGGGGCACGTGGAGTCCAAAGGTGGGGGAAGAGGATGGAAGAGGGAGGATATTTTATTGAGAGCATATCATTTGTTTCAATTCGGATGAACATGCAATATATTTGTATAATATTGCATGTTTGCTATTGAAGCATGGAATTCATCTGCCCAACCACAACTCCAACAGCGGTTCATGTGCATGTGCAGAAGTGGGAATGGACACCATCTTTCTTCTAGCTACTAGTAGCTTCTTGTTACTAGTAGTAATGGCCTCCACCCTAATAGCAATCGCTCCACCCAGCAGCTTCTAGCTACTAGTAGCTTACCCAGGACAGGCCATCTCACTTGACTGCGCGTCCAAACCCAGCTGATCATGGAGCTTCCAGTGGATGGCCTCGCCCCTTGACTGGCCCAAGTCGGGGATGTGGAACCTCGGGCCGCCGGGGATGCGACCTCTGCATCCTGCATAGGCCTGCCAATGCGGTATATGTTGGGGTGATGTTGGCATTGACTTCACTGTTCCATTGCGTGCATCAGCAATTCACGGCCTTTCATGCTCTCCCCCCTTTCCCGGTGCGACGCGAGACCCAGCATGCAATTCACCTGAGCCGCGTTCAAAACCGGTGGTAAAGAACTTTAGTCTTTCGGGGAATTTATTATTTCAAAACTTGCATGGGACCACACGCGCGTAAGCTTTTCGCAAGGTTCGCGCAAGGCCTTCTGTTTGCGCAAGGTTGCGTAAGCTTCACACTATAGTGCTTGAATGACTGCCTGTTTGTATGACAGACATTATTTACATTATTATGACTTACTGTATACTAATCAGACATACACTGTTTGGTTCAGAATTTGGACATACGGACATTTTCGCGCAAGGTTTGCGCAAGGTTCGGGCAAGGTTCGCGCAAGCCGCAAGTGCCCTAGCCCACCCCACTCCCCACAAAAAACGTCAAAGAACGGGACTCGAAGAAAAGCTCACTAACGCATCTTTCATCTAAACTATTGTCAGGGCTCGGTCGTCTTCGTGCCTCGTAGCTCCACTTCGCCTTCCTCATTTTCACTTGCCAAGTGATTCTGCTCGGAACGTCCGAATAGAACGGTCTCATTCACATGTAGCTTGCGAGGAACTTCCATGTTCCGGCTAGCTCGGGCATACACCGTGCAAGCAAAAAACACACGAAAAATAGCAAAGCCTATTTCAGCGCAAGCTCGCGCAAGCAAAAGTTGAAGATAAGCCCCTGCGCAAGCTCCCACTGCGGTCGCGTAAGCATCGCGCAAGGTTTTCGCGCAAGAGTTTATAGTTTCCTTGCAAGTTATAAGGAGGTTTTGAACACCGCTCACCTGTCGGGTTTTTGGCGCAAACCCGCCATGCTGCCCCAGATTTGGCGGGGTGGAAAGAGATGGAATTTGTGTTGAAGCTGAAATCTGAATCCCTGAAGGGGGATGTGCTGCGTGTCTCTATGGAGCGTGCCCTTCATCTAAGTCTTTCTTAAGCCTATATAATAGTCTAATATGCCCACTCAACACTACTTTGATGCACAGTGTAGATTCAAAAAAGCAATGTTGCCAAGTAAATGGACAGTTGTGGACAGCTAAGAAACCTTGCAATATCTTGCAATAATGAGCGTCATACTCGAGCATTCAGCTAGCTTCCCACTCTCCTTTTGGGAGGGATGACTTCCTTCCTTTCTCAAACCTCGAACCATGAAGCTTCATGAACCCCCACGAGAGTGGGATGATCATCCGTGCTGGGGCCTGTTCCCCCACATTCTCCACATCTCACTTCTGCGTAGAGAATTCATCCTCAGAGTCTGCTCCTGGGCAGGCAGGATGGGCCGGCTACGAGGCAAAGGCTCCACACGTGCTTGGCTTGGTCAGCGCTCCACGGTGCTCTTGGCACCCAGTGGCCTGGATGAGGACGTCGGGACAAAGGCGCGGAAGGGAAAGTTTGGAGTTGGAAATGCAAGGAGTTGGACACAAGTGTTACTGTCTTTATAAGAGACCAAATGTATCCAAATGTGATCAGTACCAAAGGATCACTCTTGTTTCGATTGTGAGCCTTTCGGGTTGTGGTTAACACAATGGGAACCCGACACAACGCGATTGAGGAACTCACACAACCCGATTGGCCAAATAAATGGCCGCTCAGTCACATGCCCTTACTTTGTATTGCAGGTCCTGGGGTATCTACTATTGTGCTCAAACCAACCGTCTCCTTCTTCCCCCTTCTGTGTCAAGGCGTCGAGCAATTTGAACCAGACCTTCGTTTCCAGACTCCTCCTTTCTCCTTTCTCCGCCAGGATCGTTCTCCTCCACAAAGCCAATTGCAAGTCGAGTGGGCCCATGGCTACAATGGGCAGGTGGTGAACGCGGTCCACTGGATCTCTGTGCCTGGCTGAGCTGGGTCCACTTGTTTTGGGGGGAGGGAGCTCTCTCGGTGACCTAGCTATAGGCTCCCTTGATCGCCGGATGCGATGGATTTATCAATGGATTGTTCCAAGACCATCCATGTTCGGCAAGCATCTCGAAGCATTTCTTGTGATTCTTGGCTTGCCCAGGATGAGGAGTTTGTCTTTTGTGTAGCCGCTTTGGGCGTGGTCCAACGCTTGAAGCCTGCTCCCTGGCTAGAAGTTGTGGCTGTGGACATGGTTCAGGGGTTGACCTTGGGTAGTACTTGGACAAATTGATTGCTAGATATTCCACAGTCGCAAGACTCTTTGGGATACTGAGGCTAAGCAGCGGATCTTCGTCGGCCACAGCCAGCGGATGCTTGTCGAGCGTATGCACAAAGCTGGTTGAAGCGGGACTGAAAAAACTCTCTCTCTATATATGATATGTAATAGAAAGCACTCAGTTTCTCTGAGTGAAGTGCACATCATATCACATTGCGTTTGTTTTTATGCTTTTCTTTCTTGACCATATTGACCTTCGGGGCCCTCACCAAAGTTCAATGGTCAGAACATCTTGCTTAACTTGCTTACTTACTGTATCAGAGACAGCAGATGCCAAGCATTTCATTTGGTGGTTTGAATCCACCTTTCTTCAATTCAATCCTTTGGTTCTTAGCGGTCGACGGCTACAACTTTGGATGCCGCTTTTGCTCGCTCTTTCCTTTTGCTCGGTCACGGAACTGAAGAGACCATAGGAGACGTGCAGCGCGCATCAGCGCGCCCAGCGCATGGCTCAGCCATGCGCGCCCAGCACGTGCTCTGTCTCTAAGGATCACCTGCTTGAGCTATTGCCCTGCCTCGCGCCTGTGCGCCTCTGGTCAGATGGATCCGAAGGGCGGCGCAGGCCCCGAGCTCGAGCTGCGCAGACCGGTGGTCTCGGAACACGCTTTCGTCCGTCGGGATCAAGCCCTGCTTTTCTGGATTGGCGCATTTGATCCGACACATGTCTTATCATGTCTTTCTGTCCATCCAAAAACTCAGTTCCCTTTGCATGCTTCTGTAGTATTTTGTCCAATCGGTGCCACTATGCTTGGCGGAACAAGAACCATGAAGAGCCAATTCATTTCAACAAGTCTTCTCTCAACGAGCCCAATCAAGAGGCCGTGTTCTTGAAAGAAAACTGCAGAGATATGCAGAGATATAGTTATATAAATCTACATATAGGTGATGTGCACTGTAGATGGCTCATGGCAGATTTGTTTATTTATTCAAGTCACTGCACTTCTCAGTGCAGATCCATGTCCAGATCTGCCCACGTTCTGCCGCGCATTCTGCGTGGTTTGACACATCGCCCCCGTTCTGTGATCCAGGCCCCTTCATTTGTCTTTGGCGCCCAGCAGATTGCATCTTGCTGTCCGTCCTGGTCTTCCGCATGCACGAGGCTTTGAAGGGACTCTCCCATCGTTCGTGGAGACCCCCTTGACATCTCGTGAGTGACTCCGGGTGCTTCGAGCGCAGGCCGACGTGAGGTTGCGTCGGTTCTCCACCTTCGTGTGCAAGGGTTGGGTGCGACTTTGGTATCGGCTCGGAAGGTCGTGTGTGTCCTTTTTTTCTTCCCCCGTTAATCAGGATTGAGCATGCATGCCTCACGAGGTTTCACTGTAAAACCTTACGAGACATACACTTTGGATTATGCAAAACAAACATGCTTGTCCTCACCCAACCAGATCCTACCAGATCTGAGCCTGTGTTGGCAGGAGCAGATTTGCTCACTATGCTTTAGCCCGGATGGTAGCAAGCTCTTCAGCATCGGTCGTGCTGCTGGTCTGATCGGTCGGGGAGGTTCAACACCGGTCGCGTGACCGGGGGTTCGGGCGGCCCGGTCGAGGGCGCAAAGGGGCCGCGACATTAGCGGGTGGAAGAAGCAGTACAGAAGCACCTAGCTGCCACCTAGCTGCCTAGCTCGCGGTTGGAGTGTGTGATGTTCACCCCTTATGACTTGTGAAGAGTGAGCAGTGAGGATGATGCACGGGTGGATCGGGTGGGCTTTGGCCGTGCGTCATGACATTTGGCAAAGTTTCGAGCTTCAAGCCTGCTCTCTGCTGTGTGGAGACATCAACAAATTATTTATAAAACGATCATAAAGGTAACGTTTTGATTACTGTACATTGCTTCGAGTGATCACCGGGGGGGCCTTATATAGTGGGATACAAAGAACCATCTCGTTGAGATGGATAGATAGGATGTGAAACCAGTCAGACTTGCTTCGGTGCATCCTGGTTTGTTGCTTGACATTTCATCACTGGGTGAATGATCTGCTCCTCCGGAACAAACACCGCAGAAAGCATCCGTACCATCAAGGGCAACTTCAGGAAGATTGAAGTCCTTATTAAATAGCCACCTTCCAGTCCACATTTAATTGGAAGGCCTTTTATCACTCTTTTCATCTCTTTTCCATATTTTCTTTTTCAATCACTCTAGGTTCATGATCCCATCCGCCTGTCCACCCACACTTCTCTCTACTTCCATCACAGTTTTCCGGAGGTAAGGGTAAAAGTGCTCAAAGCGCCTGCAAGGACTCTGCCAGCACCTTGGCCATGTGGGAGAACTTTTTGCCAAAGATGGGCAATAGCGTGAGCGCTACGATGGAGCTCCCTAAGGTCTACCGCACACCGATGGCCAAGGCGCAACCAAGAACCAATCGCTCCTGATCCAACCTGCAACCCCTGATAGCTGATGGCTTCCCATCATGGTTTGGGGGGCCATGATGGGCCATGCCTTACTCGAACACTCGGCTGGTTTCCGATGCGATCGCCACCCAAATGTTCAATGCCCATGCTTCGCACACCGTCTGTGAGGTGGCCACCGGCAAAGTGCCGGCTTTCGGCATGGCCAGTTGCAACGCGGTTCCCGAAGTGAAGATCGCGATCTTTGACGCAGGCAGATCAGTGCGGGCCCGCCCGGCAGTTCTGATCGGAGTAGTGCGGTCCAGAAGGAACAACTCTCAGGGTTCTAAGCTGGGATTCGGCGTTGGCCCTGCTCTTTGTGGCACAGGGGAGCAAGCAGAGGAGGCCACCAGCATTCCCTACCAGCTTGGCTTAATCGAAATTCTGCCAAAGTTGATTTCCCTCCAGTTTGATGCAAAAGGGAGGAGGTTCACCAGGAATGTAGCTGCAGCCAATCAGCCGAATCAATGTTTTTTTCGGCCGGGTCAGGTCCAGGCACTTACTTCACCCAGGCACAGTAAGGAAGGCTTTGTTCCCTGCACGCCCCGCACCTTCTGCGGTTTCACGAGGAGATCGTAGAAAAGTTCACTGTTTTAGCAACGCAACAACAATAAAGGTCTGCCATTTCCTCTGTGTATTTTCTTGTGTGCTCCTTTGCCACTGTTTCGGGGGTCTCTTGCCGGGATAATTGGAAGGCTGGGCTTGATCTTATAGAGAGTCAAGGTGCTCAAATTGTTTTGATTGGGCTATTGGTGCATCCAAACACACATTCTGAACTCAGCTTTCAGCTCAGTAACAAGGGCCTGGTACAAGGGGCATGCAAGTGGAAATGCCATGATGGGCTTCTCCACACAAGACGGCTAGTTGTGGCAGCCATCTACAGGACACCCTTCCTTATCCCGCCTGAACATACCAGAGCAGAAAAATATGTGAGGGACACATGAGTTCACCAAACCCTTTCCATCCTTTTCCTGCGCATCTACGGAACAATGCATTCCCACATCTACGGAACAGAGACAAATCATGGGCAATCCCTCACCTCCCATTGTTGATCTTTCCTTCAATTACAGCAGTCCCGGAGGCCACGGCACCATCGGAATTGTCTTGAAGTTCTTCACCGTGGGGGACAACGCTGCGCCTGCGTCGCGGTTTTGGGGTGTTTTTTGGAGGGCTTTGTTTCACTGCTAATGCTTTCAAATAGAACATGAGGCAACGGATGAGGCCGCCCCTGGCCTTGGTGTGGAATCCTCCAATATTTTGCACGTGGCAGTCTGGAACAACACTTGACTTCGCTTGCTCCAAGTAGTAAGGTGAGCACAGAGTTCTGGTTTGCAAATGGCACATCCTTCCAGTTGTTGCCCTAAAAATACATCCAGATTCTCCTGGACATGCAAGGGCTTGACCCTCACTTAAAAGAAGTCCGGGTCGCTTTTTTCGTTCGCTACTTCCCCTTTGTTTGAGGAACTCTATGGCCGTGCGGCCATTTTTCCGGATGCCGCCCCACGGCACGTGCTGAACTGCGCGTGGCTTGGGGAGCGATGCATAGCCTGCGGCGACCATGGGGAGCTCTACCTCTTCGAGGAGCGAGTCGGAGCGAGGGAGAACGTGAGAGGTTTGACTGCTTTATTCATCAAATCGAAAGAGAAGGTTGACATAGGTTGACTGTTGAATATCCCCTGTTTCGTCAGAAACAGTCCAGAAAAGGGTTGGTTACATGACATTACAGTACTGTTCATGGAAAGGGAAGCAAGAGGACCATGTCTATATGCTATTTAAAGGGCGGGCGAACCAAATTTGTGGACATGATGTTGCATCGCTCGATCTAGTTAACAAATGCCAGAGTCAGAGGGTGCAGAGAGGAACGTCGGATTTCAAGTTGGAAATTCTCAATGCATGAATTCCGGAAACAAACAAGTACTTCGCAAGGCTTGGCGTCATTCATTCCCCAGGAAGTTGCATATTCATCCCCTTCCACCTCTAATTTTACTAGTAACAAGGGCATTACGACTACTAGTAGCTGGAAGCTACTAGTAACAAGGGCATCGCTACGAAGGGAGCTAGAAGCTGATTACACTTTACGGTTTTGGCATGGCCCCCGTTGGGCCCCCTGCGCAGGGCAACAGCTGCGTGTGCAGCCGACGGCTGACGGGGAAAGCACTGGGCTTTGCGGTGCCATTGAGAGATGGCCTTTTGGCGGGCGGCAAAGACTCAGCCCTTTGGAGAGAGGTCCGAGGGGGAGAGCTAGACGTAGGCGCCAAGCTAGACTGAAATGGACAACTTTTGTGGATCGCCCCAGCAGGATTCTAGTGAAGACTGAGTTCTTGCAAGACTTTCCAGACATTTTTCCCAACTTCAAATTGGTACTGTATCGCCCAGTGCATGGATGGTCGTGAATTAACAGTCACCTACTGTAACACATTGGAAGATGATTTGACAGGACTTGTTCCATCTACAGTGGATTTTGCACGTGTTGGGAAAACCGTTGCACTGGCTGACTGTTGGTTGATTCGGTTTACGCTTTGCACATTCACTGACAGGACGCTCAAGAGTTAGGAGCTCAGTGAGAGACCCCTTGATAAATACACCAGGATTCATACATGAACATGTTGAGTCCTAGACTCTAGACTTTGGTTAGCTAGTCTTTTTGTGTGGGGCCCAGTTGAAGGCAACACTCGATGATGAACACTGTTTCTAGAGCAGTCCGAACTGGACTGAACGGAACGCGGTTCAAGATGCTGGCGACAGGACACATGTCTGACAGGTTGACGGTTGAAGCATCTCTGCAGATTCCAAGGATTCACAATCCTAGCATGATCGAGTCCTGGAAACAGGGAGTGTCCATCAACACGTCTTTTTTCACTGCAGGCCATAGGTCCGTAGGTCCAACGGACAGTTGGACATGCTTAGATCAGTCGCCGATCGACCTCCGCCGTACCGGAGGTGCGGAGCCGAGAGAGCCGAGCCGTCGCCTCCCCAGCTTCAGGTCCTTCACTTTGTCAACGTGTGCGGAAAACACATGGAAGTGGCTGCTTGGACCATGTTGAATTTGCGTGAATTTGCATAGTTTTGCTTGTTCCAGCACGAGAATTTATCATCGGAAAGGCCCTGTCCTTCCTCGTCGGTTGAAATCAGCATTCTCGCCTGTCGAAACTCCGCTCGTGCTTCGCTGCGGAGCGCTCCTGCAGAAAGCTGTAGGCCTCCTCGGTGCCTTTTGCGCAGATGAAGGGCGCCGCAGTCTTCAACGGGCCCCTACCGCTGGCCACCGCGGCGGCCAGCAATGCCGGGGTGTTGGTGGGTGGCGCGACTGGATGAGGCTGATGGAAGAACAGGACCAGGGATAAATTCAGTGAAGACTTCAGGACTTCACAGTAATTACAGGGACTCATCTGTGTCAACAAGAGTACACCATGGAAGCAGGTCTTTTTGCCAAGTATTGAATAATCATGAACTCCACTCCTTGAATTTAGACAATGCAAACGCACTTTTCCACGAGCTGGGCAGGATTTGTAAAGGTCAAAGGATGTATATATATATATATAAATGGCCAGAACCAATGGAGTGTTGGGCCATGCCGCATAAGTGCGACTTCAGTGCGACTGAAGTCGCAGTGTGTGATGGCACAGATGTCACTTTACATCGGTCGATGTCTTTAGACATTTTTAAACGGTAGTCGTTCAGTTCTATAGTTTGGTGAGTTTGGGTGGACACTGATGTTGCTTATATTCAGATACATTTTTGAGCCTCTTTCCGAGGTTCTGATGATCATCACCTCATAATGCTGGATGCAGATGGACGCAGGCATGCTGGGGTTCAAATTCATTTCGGTGTTTCCAATTCTGGTACAGTATATTTGATGCAGCTGCTTCATACTTGCACCCCCTTGGGCCGACTCCGACCGCTCAAACCTCCTCCAAGTTTGTGCAAAAAAGCAGCGGAATGATCAACCAACCCCAAAGCCTGTGGCTTGAGCATGTTGAAGCAGCATGAACTGCAACTTTGTGACGGATCCGCTCCACGATCCATCCAAATCAATCCGCAAGTCTCTTCACCATGCCTGCAGGGTGAAGCAGCTGCTGCAGGTCTCACACCAAGGTGAGCTCCATGCTTTGGCGCTGCACCCGGACCTTCAGCTGAAGTTGTTGGCCTCGGGCGCCACTGATGTTGCTCGGCAGAGGATGTAGACTCTAGACGAGCCCTGTAGAAATTGGGTTTGGAACGTCCAGGCACAACTCCCTTTGCTTCCCCCAGTCGGTGGAAGGCTGCTGGATGGAGCTAGAGATACAGATAGATACAGTAGGCTTTTCCAGTAGAGCTACAGCAGCCTCTTCGACGAAGGCAGCCGAGATCGAGATTCAACCGGACAGATGGATACCCAAAAACACGCCCGCTGTTGTTTTGTGGGCCCCGAGGCCATGGTGCGCTTCTGGGATCTTCGGGACAATCACCCCGTGGCGACTGGACGTGAGGGGGAGAAGGATGGACCCAAGCTCCGTCAGAGCACGGAGGATGGAGTTGAGATGGAGGCTGCAAAACGTGTTATGATTGACTTGGCGGAGGGTCCGAGCCCCCATGTTTGGCAGGGTGACCACGGTCAACTCCCTCCGGTGACCATGGGAGTTGACCGGGTTTGACATGGAAGACCTCGGCTGAAGGGATGTTGGTGTTTTAGGTGGGTTCATGCGGACGGATTGCACAACACCATCCAAAACCATCCAAAACTCAACTTGCCCCTAGCCACTTGCAAAAAAAGGCTTCGAGGTCTGATCATGGGCGGTTTTGTGCAATCGGAGTTTCAAGGTGACCCCGAAATACCCAGATATATACTCCATGCACGGAACATTTACCTGCATTCACCCCTAAAACCAGTCCCATGGAGCAAACATGTCAGTCCCATCGGTCGTGTGCCCGTCGTTGGTCATTGATCGGGACTCGTGACGGCTGTGATCCCCAGAAGATGCATTTTCATCGGTGTGGAGTGTGGACCGAGGTGGGCCGAGTCCTAAACCTTCAGGAGGGCGATGGAGCAAAGAGCTCGTAGCCGGGCGAGGGTCGTTTAGCGGGGGTCGGTTGGGAGGTTGTACCGGTGACAAGGGCATGGGGCGACTGACCTCTAGCGTTCTAGTCCCGGTGTGGTGGATTTTCTATGTCCTGAAGTATGTCACCCAGTCACCCGTATGATCCATATGTGATAGTTTTGGGTGATGGAACATGATAGAACATGATTGGACAAAAGACAAAAGGCATGTGTAGTGTAGCAGAATTGGTTGGGGGCCTCCGCATTGGTCGGTATGGAGAGTCCATCCTGCAGCGATCAAACAAACCAGGCCCAAGAGATCGCCAGTTCACTGTGTCCCCAGTTCGTATGAAAAGGATTGAAAAGGAATTTCACGCATTGGCAGGTGCCGGGTCTGATTTGCCCATGAAACGCTGGTTCTGTTTTGCGTGCCAGATCAACCGAGATAGCCAAGTTCTCGGCATCACAGAAAAGATGTTTATCCTGGCTGCATGAAAAGCCTCCGTTTATGTTTGTAACTTGATTGCAGTTCTTTTCAAAACAGAAAGCACGCCCAACGGCCATTCGGTCGAGCGGCCAAGTCCCGGCCATTCGGTCGAATGACTCATCCTTCCAGGTCCGGTCCGGCCCAACATGCTCAACGGTGTAGCTTATCACCGGCTGGAGGGTGAAGAGATAACATGGAGTACAGTCGTCCTGACACCGATGCAGACCGGTCCTAGGGGCATCTACTCAATGGCCTTCAATCCTTCGGGCTCGCTCTTGGCGTGTGGCTTCGGCAATGGTCGCCTGCACTGGCTGCGCTTCCCGCAGCTGCAGCCGCTTGCCGCGCCCGTCCGTTGCGGGCGCGAGCGCCTGGCGGCGCTCGCCTTCGTGGGGGACTGGTGGGTTAGACGGGATGGGAAAGATTCTGTTCGGCAAGTGAAGATAATCATCGAACGAGGGAGAGCTTTGGGGGCCCTGTTTTGATGTTTTGCGACGAAATGCCCATCCAAGGGACGGAGGTTGCTGAGGTTCTGGCTTAACTGCACATATTTTTTGTCGGCATCCTTAAAAGAGAACAGTGCGTAGCTCCACAACGGCGCAGGATGAGATGCTAGCTGCGGGCAGCTGGGATCAGATGGTCTACCTCTTCAGCACTGACCAGCCCGCTTCGCCCTTGCGGGTTTTGAAAGGCGGGGGGAGACTGTGGAGTTTTCTTGGCGTGCTGGGTTTGTTGCTCAAGCCGAGCTTGCAGGCAGTTCGATGCACAAACTGTGTGCGCCATCTTTGGGAAGTGCGGATAGTCGTAGTCCCTCTCCTGGCCTCTGCGCCATCCGGAAGGAAGTGATGTGAACATTTTCTGGACCTTGTTCTGTTCATTTTCAGGGTGATTGAAGTTGATCTTGAGTTCTCGCACGAATTCAGAACCAACCTACGGATCATGATTTTCCTGAGGGGCAGCCGGAATTGGCGTGCGCCATTCGCTGAGAGCTCAGAGATGCTTTCGGGAACCTGGATGGTTTGGCAGCTGAAGAATTGAAACTCCTGAATGGTATCCTGACCTCAAAAGACCACCTCGGTTTGGTATGCCCCTGGGAGGCAATACGAGTTCCGTGACTCACATGCAGATCACCCTGGACCACCAGTTTCTGATGACCAACTCCAAGGATGGACAGGCAGCCTGGACAGAGCTGGTGCCTCATGATGTTGCTGGACAGAGCAGATGACTTGGGGGTCGCGACCCCCTGTTATTCCTTTCAATCGCGCTGTCTTCGTGGGTTGCTGGTGTCGCTCCCTGTGTGCCTGTCTGTGTGTGCGCGGGCGCGTGGGCGCGCAGAATGAGCTCATTGACAAGTTGATGACTTCAAGCTCTAAGAGCTTCTCACAAAGAAATTGCCTTTCGCACAACAGAATGCAAATGTTCAAGGCTTTGTTCGTCCATGCTCCTTACTCCATCTCTTCCGGACGAAAGCCTTTGCTGTGGACAGGTCCTCTATTTCAATCTGGGCACCGGTGAGCGGGTAACGCAGGAAACCGCCAAGGACCGCATCGCGGTGATTTCTGGTGTGGTCTCCAAACTACTAGCGATGGCCTCCAACCTACGCGTACTAGCCATGGCCTCCAACCTACTCGCAATGCTCACACAGGCATGAGGGGCCAGAATGTCACTAAAACCATCTATATACAGCCTTTTTTTGCACCAAACTGCCATGTGCTGTGCTGGTCGAGCGAACCTGCTGGAAGTTTGAGTCTCTTTCTCTTTGTTCCTAATATATAGAATGTCTCCACTAGATCCCCGCCTAGCCAGTATTTTGGGGAAGGTCTCCTCTTAAAGGTGCAGCGCAGAAGCTGAACAAAGATTCAACGCTGAGCAGTGACCGAAGGCTGATCAATGAAGAGGTACCAGCATGTTTCTGATGCCGGCCGCCTGGGGACTCTAACCCTTCAATTTGTGAGTAAAGGCCACCTTTACCTTATACCGTACCGTATACATACCACAACGAAAGTGGATTGGATCGTGTAGCCACTGACTATCCTACATGTCGTGGACATCCTTTTCTTCGAGGACCTGCCATGGGAGGTTTGGACGTGCCCATGCGCTTGGCATACGATGCTTGGCTCTTTCAGAGTGTTCGCCAGGGCGCAGAGGGCCAACAGGGCGGGCATTCCTAGGTTGCGCGGTTTGAGGGGACTCAAAGCACCAAGTCCTTTGGCAGAAGGGAAGAGAAGGCAATTATATACTTGGGAGTCTTCCGTTTTGAGATATCAGTTCTTTTTGATTCTTTTGAGATGGGGAGGGACACTGAAACTGTGGAACAAGCTTGGAGGTCTCTTGAAAACAACATCAAGTGGGCAAGTGATGGCATGTGGGGAGGTGTACTTCTGGCCTCCAAGATCTAGAAAAGGGCGCAAGAATTGTTGACGGCAGCGAAGTCTGCTTTTGAGGATGGGCATGTGGGCAGCCCATCGCCACTTCAGCATCCACAACATCAAATCCTGCCGAGCCTTGGGATTTGCAACCACAGGCCTGGCCACGCGCCGGCCCATTGGTGGGCATGTCGCAAAATGTGACCTGATATGGCAAGAATCTCCTCGATGATCATGAGCAAGTTTTGCAGGATTCTGGCAAGCTAGAGGCTTTGACACCTGCTCAACCAAACTACAGAGTCTACCTCTAGGCCTGGACAGTAGTCAGTCAATGGCACTGATCACCAATCCTGTCCTGGAGATCGTATCGAAGCAAAAACAGAGGGCAAAAGCTCCACCCCACCGCTTTGATTTGGTTCCGCCGTCATGGACTGCGACTGCCGCAGGGGAGCAACTGCTTGTGGCGGGCGACACCTCACACCGTGTGAAGTTGTATCACTTCCCTTCAGGCTGCGATCAAGGCTTGCCGTGGAATCGAATGGGGCAGTCCACCAGAGGTGTACTATGTTGCTTGGGTTTGGTCTTTCTTGGATTCACTTATATATAGTTGGATGAAGGCTAGTTATGCGAGGTGTCACCTTGATTTTTAGAAGCTTGTGCATTTGCAAGAATGCTTGGTTCATTGATCTGCAAGTAACTGCCAATCTCATGGATGTAGTTCCCACTCCTGCTCATTGCTCTCAGAAGCATGGGTTTATGGGTAACATGGGGAGAAGGAGGGGAAGAGAAGATAACCTTGTAAGTTTGCAAGCAAAGGCAAATTTAAGTTCAGCACATTTACTTCAGCACGGTGGTCGTTCTCTGAATGCACATTCATGAAGAGTTTACGAAAAGCTTTTAGAGACGATCCTCTCACAAGCGGCCTGCTAGTGAGAAGTACTTGTAGGATGAACTTGGATGCGCACAGACTCCCGGCTCCTTGATTTAGACCCGGTGGATCAGTGGACTTGACCATTCCGATTCTGCGGTCAGGATTTCACACGTATGACGGCCACGCTGGCTTTGTCGCGGCCATGCTCACCGTCCCTCTGCCGCCTTCGCCTGGCGACGGGGCGACGGCGGCCGCGCCGTGGTCCGCGACGCACGTGATCACCGCGGGGGGCGACGACCGGGCCATTGTGCAACTTGTTTGGAAGGCAAAGGGCTGCGCGGGTTCTTGGATCCAGTATTTCAGGCATGTTCGGGCTCGCTTCAGGGTTGGTCTGGGGGAGGTGGTTTCGATTTGATCCCGGATCCTTGCTAGAAGAGGTCAAGGACATACACATGAATCAAGGTTAAGTTAAACCAGATGAGTCAGTCTATAAAACCAGATTCATGATCCATTTGGAAGGGTAAGAGGCCGATCAGGGGAACAGCTCTGAAAGCTTTCGATAGCACCATATTGGTCCCTATTGCTGAAGACTCAGCAGGAAGGAATGCTCGAAGGAACTCACAGTCGTGGGATTTTTCTGATACTATATAATATAGACTCTTCCTCCTTTTCTCTTTTCTTTGTTTCCATTAGCGATGGCCTCCACCTAATAACGATCTGGAATGGAACTTTGCCAACAACTTGAACCTTGCACCCTCGAACCAGGTCGCCCATGCCTCCTCTGAGAATCCAGGTTTATTTTGGGGTTTAGCATTCTGCAACTGATTCTTGTTATGAACTTATTTGCTCCTGTGGTGGTTGATTGGTTGATGCTGACAAGGAACCCTGTTCTTATCAGTGTAAGCAGATTGCCTCACTTCAAAGACTTCAATGCATGGTCCTATCATGTCTTGGCATCCAAATGACAAGGTGAACCCATGGAACATGGTTGACGGACCTTGGCTGAGTGGCTCGCAGCACTTCAAGGTCGATGGACCATACATGCATGCATCAAACGGTGCACAAGACCTTACAAGGCTTTGTACCCGGCTTTGTTTGTAGTCTAATTTGTCATCGAAGTTGGGGGGTCCGGGTACGAATCATGGAGTATTCTGGCTGGGTGGTCCATTCCAATTCACCCATGAGCTACCAGCTACCATACGTAATTCACGAATGTTTGTGGCATCTTTCCAAGGAAAGGCGTTGGTGAAGCCTCCTCGGCCCGGTCTGGTCAGCTCAGGCAGTGGCGCTTGGTGTCCAGTGCTTCTGCGCGGCGCGCGGTGGCTTGGCACGAGGCCTCTCAGGCGCATGGCGCAGCTCGGGGAGTAGCTCTGAGATGCCGTGAGAAGCCGGCCGCATCCAAGGTCCTGTTGTTTGTTGCCAAGTTTCAAGTGACTGGTCTCAGCGTTCTCTGGGGCAATTGCACTACAAGGGATGCTATTGACACCCTTGATCTTAATAGGAATCAGAAAGCAATAGCCCAAAGAGATTTGCAATGATTTGCCAGAGGTTTGTTTCTCCTTGGGGTTTTTACATCCAACACTGACCCCCTTTTTTCTCATCTTGCATGGATCAGCTGCAGGCTGCGGTGGAAGTCCTGCGTCCCAGCGATCCGCGGGAGCCACGGCCGCGCGAGAGGCGCAGCTCGAACGCCGCCACGGGGCGGAGGAAGAGGCAGCCGAAGAACGTCCACGGTTCATGAGTAAAGCCACCCCAAGGGTTCTTGTAAAAAGCTTCAAATTTGTCGAAGCATCCGCTTAAGAGCGGGGCTTTTCAGTTTTTTTGCCAGTAATCAAGCGTTTAAGATCGTTGAAGTATTTATGTGTTTTTCATTCATGAATCCGATGGCTCGTCGTAGCTTGACACGCCCAGCCACAGTAGTTCATTTCATTTCGTTCCTGTTGGAGTGTCAAGCAGAATCCGGGGGGAGCCATGACAGAGGTGTCTTGAGCATGCCCAAAGTCCATTCATGAGGGTGTGAGGTGAGCTCCTGAACACTGGTCTTGAGTGTTCCCTCATTGACAGATACGAACTCCCTAATTCGCACTACCACGACGATCACGGGCCACGGGTCTTGCGGATCCGCGGGCCCAGCGGGTGCGAGTTGGCCAGGACCCTGTGGGAGCGGGACGAGGAGCACAAGGATCGGACGGGCCGAAAGACGTCCGTTCCAGGCGGGGCCCGACTGCGGGGCGGGAGCGGCCGGAGCTGCGCCAAAGCCAAAGGTCCAGGTGTTGTTGGGAGATGGCCACAGACTGGGATGTGTTGTGCTCCTGATTTCTCAACAACTTTGGGTGGGTTGAAATACCAGCCCACTACGACGGATGGCTTCAACTTTGGTAGGTTTTGGGTGTTGCCCCCAAATCTCCTAGCTCAACCACAATCAGAAAACACTGGCCTGTATGGATACGGATATTGGTGGAGCAACCAATCGCAACCAGCGGGTCACCGGTCACCTTGGCGGAGGCCCGTGGGTCCAGCACGGGGGCAGTGGCGCTTCCGGTCTGCCCTACGCGGAGCATCTTGTGGAGACGGTGCCACGCCGTGAGCGGCTGCGAGGCGCGGACGGTCCACGGGGCGGCGGAGATTGGTTACAACCCACGGGGCGGCGGTCCGTGGGAGCGACCCAAGGCCCCGATCAGATCTTGCGACTTTTGAAGGAGAATGAGGGGACTGAAGAAGAACTCTTGGCGTTTAGATTGTATAAGGCCATATATAAATACAATATAATATAATATATATTATTGCTATAATATATAGGAAAGATATTATATATATATAATATATAATATGTCCATTAATTATATACAACATGTTCAACCTGGTATAGTGGATGCAGATGAGAGATGAGGGGATCTCTCTCTCTCTCTCTCCAGGTACATTATAGGTCCATTAATGTCCATTACAAGTTTATGGTGGTCCATGCTGTGTTGCATCCATGGTTTTCACCTCCGTGGAACGCATGGGCGAATTGGGGCAGATGTGAAGGGCAAGTGAATGGGCTCGATGTGTCGGACCGGAGGCTCCTGTGAGGTCCCCGATGGCGAAGGTGCGGTCAGACTGCTGGAATGGCGGCGAAGAGGATCCATGGGTGTCAAACGAAGACAGGTTCTTTCCAAGGAATGGTTCTGAGTAGCACTGGTTCATGTTCAGGTGTACATCGTGGGTGTAAGGTGTTGACGTGTAATCACATTTTGGCCAGAGAGACATATTTGGTGAGCAACTGAAGATGATGCCACAGGCACCGGGTTGTACTTGATGATCTCAGATTTCTAGCGTTCTCCAATCAAAATCCAATCATTTTACGATCACGCAGAACCGGTGTTTGTTTTAAGGGTTGGAGACTTCCCAAGCCGCAGTAGGGTCAGGGTTGGCCTTGTAGCCACTGAGATGGCTTCATGTCCACTCTGGCAACTCCATCGACGTACCCTTCGGATCATTTGGGACTCCCAAAGACTCCCTGCCAAAAGGGAAAACAGACCACCAACCCCCCGGGTGGTTGAATGCATTGACTTTAGCTTCTCGCACCTGACTTCCCGAACACCTAACAGGGAGATCATATACAAGCGTGCATGATCATCCATGCAGCAAGTTGAACGTGCCCCGATCTGCTCCAATACAAAACAATCAAATCTTACTGATCATGCCTTCAACATCCTTCAACCAATATCTCAGTCGTTGAACTCATGCCATCATATGCCATCTGCCTCTCTTGGTACTCCCACTGGTTGTCCTGGATCCACCCGAGGCTACTTTGCTGGCCGCAGCACCACGGCCATGGCGGCCGGCTCTGGCCCGCGGCGCGGGTCGCCGCGGCGCGCAGCGCGGGTCGCCGAGGGTGCCGCTGGCATGACGTCGCAGGTACCTGGGTGGTGTCGTGCGGAACCTCATGTGGCGTCCGGACGGCCTTTTTTTCGAGGTTCTAGGCCAACTGAAGCGTCCATTCGGAGTTCCAATTAGGCCTATATAATTAGAACAGATTTGCAAGAGGCCTCGGCACATGGTCATTCATGGTCGACCTTTCTCAAGTAAACTGAGTTCACGGCTTGACAATCTTGACCGGGGTCTGACGCACAACGGAAAGTCATGAAAGTATGTAATTAATCTTTAATTTGTGTTCATGACAGTCGAGCTGTGACACCTCTCAGATCCTCTCAGAGTCCCCCGGCTGATCTTATTTGGGGTAGTTTCGGGTCTCTCGTCTCTCGTCTTGTTTAGTGAGCACATGCCAACCATCAATCAACCCAACCCATAGACCAAAAGATACAAACAGTATGCCTAGGGTTGCTGCAGCATGGCGGTGAGTCCTTAGATACTTCTGGGTCCAGCAACCAATTTTCAATCTTTTTGGCCTATGGCCATCTATGGCCCCTTTCTTGGGCCATTCAAACGACACCCGGGTGCCGCACCGGGGCCATTCTCTTTGAGTTCCCTTCTTTCAACTTCGGTCACGGAATGTTCCGAGGCGAAGAATGAACGCAAGTCCTTCCGCCAGGGTGGGCTCTTCAAGGGCCGCGACTGGTTGGACTCGGGCGCCATCATCGCCAGCGTGGCGAGTCACGTGCAGCTGCCCCAAGATGACTGAAGTTGACGGTTTTTCAAGAGCCTCATGTCGACCGATGGGTCGGCAGAACCTCATCCGGATTTGAACAAGAACCGGTGCTTCATGAGGAAGGAGAAGTACCTGAACCGATGCTGGCTGCAATCAGACAGGGCATCGGTCAGCGGGCATCGGGCAGCGACGGGCGCCCCACCGAAGGATCGGCAACCCGGACACTGGCAGTCAGCGACTGGAGCAGTTCTCGGCAGTGGAGCCCAAAGCAGCTGGAATGAAGAATGCTAGCCCTACGGATGTGGACCAACTGGTCGAAAGCTGATTCTTGTCGCCCCGGTGAGTTGGTGAGTTTTTGGCTGTTTCTACGGTTCATTGTAGAGCCACCCGCCTCGGACCTTCCCTGCCTAGGGTTTTGTACAGTCTCGTCCCCTTAGACAGTGCATGAATGAATTCGAGGTACGATGAGCAGCGAGGTCTAGGTTGAAGGTTCCAGACAGCGCAAAGATCCGCGACCTTCCCAAGCCGAGGAAACTGAGATCTGACAATCTGATCTTGCAAGAAAGGGCTGCATTCACAGATAGGACTCGGACGAGGTTGGTTCTTGGACTCTACAGGCACATTAGAATCCTTGACTTGGCTCCAGAAGTAAGACCAAAACCGGGATCAGGTAACAGTTCTTCAAGTTCTTCCATGCGAAGACCCTTTGGATTTGCAGCGTGCCGATTCCGTTGCCAACTCATTGTTGGGTGTCACCTGTAAAGATTTGACTCCTGCGATTTGGACCTTGTCACTGACTTTGTTCTATCCCCTCCCATGTGCTGTGCACCCGCTCCTTTCCGTCGCTGACTCGACGGCAGGTTTGCGCCGGCCGTTTGCCAGGGCACGTCGCTCGACTGCAGAAGCTGGAAGCCCTGACCTAGACGGGAGACCACTTGCCTTGGGCAGATGGGATACACACCCAGCTCAAGCCACGGCTGGGCCCTAAAGGAAAGCCCTTTGGTGGAACTCGGAAGCCCCAACTATGAAGCTACATGAAGCTACTAAGGGCTCCTGGCCATACTACTAGGAGCAAGGACGCTACTAGGGGCTCCTGGCATCGCTACTAGGAGCAAGGAAGCTACTAGGCCCCCAAACGGTTTGCGCCGAACACACCGCCAGCCTCACCGAGGTACGGCGCCCAGGCTTACCGAAAGGCAGGACCTGCAGTGTGGAGGGGCTGTGTTTTGCAACACTGTCCATAGCTGTTTGGCCTGACTCATGAATGGCAGTCATTTATAAAATTCTATAAATATTTATAATTTAATATAATTTATATAAATATATATCTGGATGTACAAGTGGCTCAGGCTCAGCACTTACCTACAAGGCCTCAATGTCAAGGAGCATGTATGAGTTTTCCTCAGCACTGTCTGGTGAACTGCTCGTTAGCTTCAGTGGGGATGAGGTTGTGGAGAAATGTGTCAAGCCGCTCAAAAACTATGTGGCCAAACTCATCGGAGCCGCAAGATTCCGGCAGAGATGGTTCAGTGATGATGACAGCAGTGAGCTTCAGGATAACATGCCGCTCTTGCCTCCCTTGAATATTAGGCTCTTGATCCTAGACTTTGTCCATGAAGATTCTGAGAATCAGAATCAGAAGCTCTTTTCCGCACGCGCTGGTAATCAAATGTAATCAATCGAAGAGTTGCTGCAGCACAAAACTTGGGCCACTCGACCATGGTGCAGCTGTTGCTTGAGACCGAGGCGGCTAAAGAGACGGTCACAGCACATGGGATTTGGCCTTTGCACAGCAACGCCACTTGGAAGTCGTGCGGCTTTTGCTCCATAACTACTGGATACAGAAAAGGTCAAGCGAAGTCGCAAGACGGCATTGCACTGGGCAGCTGAACAACGCCACTTAGAAGTCTTGCAGTTGTTGCTACAGGCTGGTGCTGACAAGAACAAGGTCACAGCAAGTGGCAAAGCTGCGTTGCACATGGCCGTTCAGCAGCAGGACTTGAAGGCAGTGCAGCTATTGCTCCTCACTTGGGAGCTTGGCAGCTGAGCGATGCCATATGAAAGTTGTGCAGTGAAAGCTGGTGTAGACCCAGACAAAGTGACAGCCTGTGGCAACACAGCTTTGGACTTGGCTGCTGAGAAAGGGGACTTGGACATTGTGAGCTTGCTGCTCCATGATGGTGAATGCACGTGGCCTACGAAACAAACAGACAGCTAATGATTTGTTGCGCATGGCAGCTCAAAATGGGATCCTGAATGTTGCACAGTGGGCACTTGTGTCTGGTGCTGACGACACAGTGTCACAACAAGGCCATACAGCTTTGCAGTTGGCAGCTCGGGAATGTCACTTGGAGTTTGTGCAGTGGACACTCTTCGCGCTGGGCGATCCTCGACGCTTGGGCGCAGCTTGGGAACCGGCCGATGCCTGACTTGGCGCGGCCGCGATTGTGCAACCACGTTTGCCCTGGTGAAAGAGGAGGACCAACCCTATAAGGTCGGTCCTTTCACCAGGGGTAAACGTCTTTTCCCAGTGCTGGTTTTCGCAGATGTGGAGCGGAGAATCGGAGCGGCGGGCGCGTCTCAGAGGATGTGGAGGAATCGGAGAAAGTGGGGTGAATGTCATGAAGAGAATAGATACAGAAAGATCACAAGCGACTCTTTGCATATGATAGTGGTAGTTGGGCCTCGACAGGAGGGCGGGCAGATCATGTGGACTGTCCATGGTTTCATTCGGGCTCATGCCTGTACCTCTGGCTTTGCCGTGTGACACTGCACGAGACGGTCGACACGAGACGGTGGTTGAAGTTCACCTGGCTCACTTGGGCTCACTTCCACCCGATCCATCCGGACGCGTATCGATGCTTTGAGCCACTTTGAGCCACCCTGATATAGAAACCAAACGAAACAAATCCCCTGAATTCTCCGCCTCCTCGCTGTGGTTCAAACGGTCGTAACCTGGTTGGTACGACCAAACGCAGTGGACCAATGTGGACCAAACGCTGTGGACCGACGCGTCCAGGTGCCTGGGAATCAATGCAAGGGTGGCTGGCAGCCACACCTCATCGAGGCCAACCAACCGCGTGGTGTTGCGAAGGGGAAGGACGGGCTCCAATGAGACCCAAGCGGTCGGCCGGGAACCGAGGACAGAACGGGTCGGGGGCCATTTGGGGTTCCGAAAAGGGGTAACGCAAACGAGGACGAGGTGCGAATCAGAAGCCGGTGGCTGGGGGTCGGACTTCCCATGGGAAACCTGGACGCAAAGCCAGGGAAACCTGGAGGGCTTTCCACTGCGAAAGGCAAAGGAGCACGACGATCCAGGGGAACACGCTGTGAGTTCATTGTTAAGGGCCAAACAATACTGTATGGTGTTGTAGGTAGTTTAGTAGTTTCGTATAAAAACATGTGCAAGTGTCTGAAGCACTTCCTGACAGATCCGTGGATCCGTGGACCGCTCCGATGCCATCCTCGTATTCTTGGAGTCTTAGAGGTTGATCATCGTGCCATACCACACGAAGTCAGATCACTAGGGTCGAACATGGACGAAGTCTCCTTCCATAGAGTGTTCCCATCGCAGGTCAGCGCAGGTCAGGCTAGAGTTGGACATGCCAAACTTCATCCATTTCCTGAGAGTGTTCTTGGTTTGTTGTGTGTTTCATGGTTTGTCCAAGACTCAGTTTCTTTGATGCTGATACCACCATGGATGTGTGGATTTATATACTGTAGTATATAGGCAGCTCAGCGTTTCAGCGCGTTGGCTTGCAACTCTCGCAACTATTTGCAACTCAAGGCGCACACTTTGAAAAACACGCCAGCTTGACTGGGAATTATCTGATGTCAGGAGCTACCCCGGCATTTGTTCAACTATTTCAGACAACAGGACAAAACTCAGAACACGTCCAGAAGAAAGACCCTCCTCGACGCAAGGAGATTGGTGACTGGACCTTCATTTGGGATTGGGCTTCGCACAGCTAAGTTGAGAACCCCAACTCGCACAACCAGAGTCCCCTGGGCCCCTGGGCCAGACCAATGGTTGCACCTCCTTGGATCGCCCGCGCAGGAAGAGAGAAGTCCAATGGACTCCTTGGGCCATCTGAACATGATCCAAAAGCCAGTTTCCAGTGGGAAGCAGCAACACAAGACACAGCGTCCGACACTATGCCATGCCGATCTTTATTCCTGTATATACTAAGTGTTCCCATATTGTTCACAGCTCAAGCACACACGGTCACAGTGACAATCACCCATTCCATGAGCCAGATGGACTCAATCTGCCAGCCATGCGCCCCACACGCCTTTACCAGCTCGTGCCACGGAGCCTTCGGTGCTCCGCACGCTTCTCCCGCGGTTCCCGTGCGCTGCTGCTGGGGGTCGGGGAGCCGCTGCGGACGGAGCACCGGAGTCTGGCACAGAGGGCATTGGAAGGTGCGGAGGCAGATGTTGGTGTGTTCCTAGCTCTGAGAATGGGCTCTTACTCAAAGGCATTCAACAGCTACAATTGGAATGATGCCAACCCCAATGCGCGCAAGGCCGATGTTTTTGAGGTGCTTGTTCATCTCCAATCAGACATATATAATCAGACCAAACAAACCCAACCAATCAAGCGATTTGGATCAAGGACTTTGACACAGCATTTCCGCACGCTTTCGCTCAGAGACCACGTCAGGCACCCCGCTCTCGCTCGAGCATTGGGTGGACCTGGCCGAAGCAGCCCTGGAGCAGGCGCCACGTTTGCCCTGTGAGGCCTGGACGTGGAGAGACCGCCACGTCGCCACGTCCAGAAGAGTCAGAGACAAGGCTTTGTCAAAGACAGGAAGACTCCTCAAGGAATGGAGGGCCGGGCGGGCCGATTGACTTTCTGTATGTTTCACTCGGTTGCTTTCGTTCTCACAATTTCGGGGATTGGCTACTGATTTCTTGGAACAAGATGAACAAGAAACAATCAACAGACACTCCGCAGCCCTGGAAGTTTGGATCCAAGATTTCAGAACATCCGAATGGTCGGAAGAGGACACGACAGGATGGTCGGTAAGAGC